AAACCAGAGCTCAGTTGCAGCCATTTTCCTCAGTGCAAGGAAAGGTTCCACCTGCTGTTCAACTGCAGTAACTATAGGTATGTCCTAAGATATTTTGACAGATTCACCGGATGGCCAGAGACAGCGCTCATGACCAACATTAAGGCAATTACATCGACACCTGCTTTGTAGTTTTAGAGGTCCTCATAACCGACCAAGGAACCCAGTTCGAATCAGCTGTCTGTTGGGAAACGTCGAAGATTCCTGGTTGCAGCAGGTCATGGACAGCAGCCTACAGTCGAATGGCATTGTTGACCGATTACACCGTCAGCTCAAAGCAGCTCTTGACCAGCCACGCAGTTTGTGTCCGCAGCATCGATGGCTGCCAATAGTCAGCTTTGACATTGATTTCTGATGCAGATGTCCCCGTTACCAGCAAGGTGTAGTACCCCTATATATAATATCATATATGGTACAAATACACACATGTATAAGCTCATATATTGTGGACAGGTCCTATTGTACATCATATATTATATACACACATCTATATCTATATACATACATATATACATATATATATATATATATATATATATATATATATATATATATATATATATATATATCTGTGTGTGTGTGTGTGTGTGTGTGTACTGTGTGTGTGTGTGCATGTATATCTATGCACACATACATACATACACACACATGCACATATCTGTCATGCATACACGCACACACATATATATGTGTGTGTGTGTGTGTGTGGTGGCCATATAGCCTGAGTTGGCGATCCCGGATTGTGCAGGTAACAGGTCCTGTGCCGGTCTCACGGTGCAGCCGTTGGTTAGGCACATGGTCCCGCCAACAGTACCCCATGATCCGGCGCAAGGACCTATTACAAAAGGCATCAAGACGAGTCTCCAGTGCACTGGATAATGTCCAGGTTTCACTACCGTAGAGCAAAACTGGCATTACCAGGGCCCTGAAAACCGTAGCTTGGTCCTTCTGCACAGGTACCGGCATCTCCAAATACTCTTGTCGAGAGAGTTCATGACCCCTGCTGCCAGGCCAATCCGTCTGCTGACTTCCTGGTCTGACAGCTCAAAGTTATGAACTGCACTACCAAGGTATGTAAAGCTCTCTGTGACTTCAATGTCCTCGCCGCAAGCACGTACCGACTGAACAGGTTTTCCTAGCAAGTCCCCAAAGTCCTGGATCTTGGTCTTGGTCCAGGAGACCTCTAGATCCAAGGGCTTCGCTTCATTACTAAATGCATCGAGGGCCACGACTAAGGTTTCCAAAGAATTGCAACATCATCGGCAAAGTCAAGGTCTGTAACCTTAATATTACCCAGTGTTGCTCCACAATGACTTTGAACAGTAGCTCTACATAGTATCCAGTCCATGCAAGTGTTGAAAAGGGTTGGTGCAAGAACACAGCCTTGCCTCACTCCTGAACTGACAGGAAAAAAGCTCGACAGGCCCCCACCACACTTTACAGCACTTTCAGTACCAGTATATAGGTTTGCTATTAGTTCAATAATCCTTGTTGGAATTCCTCTCAGTCTCAGGATCTCCCAGAGTGATTCCCGATGCACTGTATCGAACGCCTTCTTGAGGTCGATGTAGGCTGCAAGCAACCCACGTCCGAACTCACGACAGCGCTCTACAATGACTCGAAGCGCCAGGATACGGTCTATTGTGGACTTACCAGAAGTGAATCCAGATTGCTCTGGCCTCTGATGCCTTAGTAGATGGTCTCTGATACGCCTCAGAAGGATGCGGGCAAGAACTTTGCCTGGTACACTGAGCAGTGTGATGCCGCGGTGATTGCTGCCGGTACCGGACTGCCAGATGGCAGCCAGGACAGCATGCAATCCCCTGGGATGCTGCAAAT